GCAACCAGCCATCGGGGTGGGCAGCGCCTTCGAAGGTTGGAGTCCTTGTGAGGGTGATGCTGTCTACCGCATGTTCGTGCCCCTGAAGCCCCCCCGTGGGCACACGTTCCACCTGGAGCTGGGCACTGTGGGGGAGATGCCAGTGAAGGACTCCCACATCCGCGTGGAGCTGGAGTGCACCTGCGCAGGGGAGGGGCTGGTGGAGGACATGCTGTGCTTCCTCCACCACCCCGAGGAGGAGCTGAGGAGAAAACAGGATCCCAGCCTCCTAAACAACCTATGCACCTCCTACACACCCTCTGCACTGGCTCCTACCTAGATGTGGAGAAAACTGTCCTTTGGTTCCAGAACTTTGTGAAGTCAGCCTGGATGATGGGGTCTTATTTCCGTCGCTACAATATGAAGGTACTGCCCTCCCGCAATTCCTGCAAGCTGCAGCTGATGAATGCCTTCTGGAGAATCCTCATCACTGAGATTATCTTTGGGGTGCAGCAAGGCAACTCAGACATCTTCCTGTGCAGCCAGACTACAGAGACCATCTTCACACCAAGGACAACGTGGCCAGAGACCTACGTTGTGGCAGAGGCAAAGTTCTTCAGCCATGTGGCGAGGCAGGCTCCACGTGACAGCTTCCACCTCAAATGCCTGCAGCTCTGCGCCCACATCCTGGTGGGCACAAGTTTTTCCACCTATTTCTTGAAGACAATTGTGATGCACCTCCTGACAAGCATCCCTGTGTCAGACTGGCGCAGGAGGGATTTCCTGATGCGGCTGCTGGATATCATGCAGTACCTGCGCTACTGCCTGGAGGAGAAACGCCTTGACCACTTCTTCTTTGGCAACGAGAACATGCCCGAGGAGATAACCTTGCCCCCAGCTTTCCAAACAGCCACACCACCCAATCTCTTCCAGCACCTGGAGGAGGATCCAGTGGCTCACACCAATGCACTGCGTGAATACAATGACCTGCAAGATCGGCTCATAAGACTGCTGTTCTACGGATACTGAAAGAGGTCGTCATGCACAGAGCTGTGTTTGCAGGACACAGATAATGGCAGACGACACCTCATACCACAAGGAAAAAGACGGGACAACGTGGGACACAAACAAAATTGAAATCCCAGTGCAGCCGTCCTCTGTCAGGAGCAGCAGCGTTCTCCTGTAATGGTCTCCCCAGTGCAGAGGCCAGTGAAGACCATGCTGGCTGCAAAGAGGATTTTTGGTCTGCTGGGTCTCTTTAGCTTGGAGAAGAGGAGACTGAGGGGTGACCTCATTAATGTTTATAAATATGTAAAGGACGAATGTCAGGAGGATGGAGCCAGGCTCTTCTCAGTGATGCCCAATGGTAGGACAAGGGGCAATGGGTGTGAGCTGGAACACAGGAGGTTCTGCTTCAACTTGAGAAGAAACTTCTTTACAGTGAGGGTGCCAGAGCCCTGGGACAGGCTGCCCAGGGAGGGTGTGGAGTCTCCTTCTCTGGAGACATTCAAGACCCGCCTGGACGCCTTCCTGTGTGATCTCATTGAGGTTCCTGCTCTGGCAGGGGGATTGGACTGGATGATCTTTCAAGGTCCCTTCCAGTCCCTGACATTCTGTGATTCTGTGATTCTGTGATTCTGTGATTCTGTGATTCTGTGATTCCTTTCACACTGTCATGACTGTGGTGGCGATTTCACACGGGCCGAGAGACTCCCTGGCAGCTCCGGCTGGGCAGGGACCACACAAGAGGCACTGCTGATGTCCGGGTGGGAATACACCCATCCCATACGCTTCCTAGATAACTGAGGGCAGGGAGGCTTTGCAGAGGGATCTGCATAGAGTAGATGGATGGGTCAGGACCAATTGCAGGAGTTTCACTAAGGCCAAATGCCGGGTTCTGCACTTTGGCCACAACAACCTCCAGCAGCTACAGGCTTGGGGAGGAGTGGCTGGAGATCTGCTCAGCAGAGAGGGACCTGGGGGTGTTGATGGACAGCGGCTGAACATGACTTGCCCATCCCATACACTTCCCAGATAACTGATCTCGCAGAATAGAGCACACAACACATGGAGAAGACACTGCTCCATTGGGAGCTGGAAGTGCTGCTGCACCTCCCTCCACAGCAGAAGCATGCTGCCTGCTGCCTCCAGCTTGCAACCTGCTACCTGCTGCCTTCATGCTGCTGCCTGCAGCCTGCTCTCTTCTGCCTGCAACCTTGAAAGAATAAACCCCAAGAAATTAAAAGACTTATAGATCCCTTAGTTGCTTGAAAGATTTATAGATCCCTTAGTTACTTGCTCCGTTACAAAACTTAATCACCCAGCTGTTGTAACACGTCTGTCCTCACAAATTGCTAATAACCTTGGAGTGGGTGCTTATCACCGAGCTGTTTGCATGTATTCACTTGCTTAAATCATTAGACTTATATCTGTTCTTCTCAGCCCCTGAGAACACAGTGGCCTTAGGACCTTTGCAGATGTTCTCCCACAACGTTGTCAGGGGTGTCTAAGCTCAGGGAAGAACATACAGATAAGAGTTAATGACTGAATGGAATATTGTCCTAAACATGAGCGAGGCGCCACTGAGCAAGGTCAAAGAGGAAATTGAGCAGTGGACATCGACTTATATCTGTTCTTCTCAGCCCCTGAGAACACAGTGGCCTTAGGACCTTTGCAGATGTTCTCCCACAACGTTGTCAGGGGTGTCTAAGCTCAGGGAAGAACATACAGATAAGAGTTAATGACTGAATGGAATATTGTCCTAAACATGAGCGAGGCGCCACTGAGCAAGGTCAAAGAGGAAATTGAGCAGTGGACATCATGATAAAGCCTACTGAAGACCATCGACTCATTTTACTGTGCAAACATGCGGGATATTTACATATGCTAAATAGCAATGAATATGCCTGAATTAAGTCTCTGTAATATGTGCTAAAACAAAGACACCGACACACACACCTTGGGGGAGCGATCTCCATGTGTGTCTGTCGTGGTTTTGCTGGGATAGAGTTAATTGTCTTCTCAGTAGCTAGCATAGCTTTGTTTTAGTTTCAGTGTAAGACTTGTTATGAGAAGAATGTTGATCAAGTACTAATATTATTAGTTGCTGCTGGAGCCCAAGGCCATGGTGTTTGGTTGTTCACAGCTGCACTAGGACTGGGAGGGGGGAAGTGCAGTGAATAGCAAACCCCCAAATTGGCATTTGGCTCTGCCAGTGAGATATTCTCTGTCACATCCCGTCATGTCAGTATATTAACCAGGGTTGACCAGAAAACAGGGGGATTCTCTCAGGGCTCACTTGGGCTCGCTCTTCTGGGATTTCAGGACTGTCTCTGCTCTGAGATAGTTGGCTGGGGATGGGCTGGGCATCAGGTGGTGAGCAATTGCACTGTGTATTACTCATTTGTATATTCTGTTATCACTGTTGTTATAATTATAATTTTATTTTAATTAGTAAATAGTTTTTATCTCAACCCATGCCCTTTTCCTTCCAATTCTTTCCCCTCCTCCCTTGGCAAGGTGGCGGGGGGGGGTTGTTAGAGCAGGCTGTGTTTAGCTGCAAGTTGCAAGCAAAAAGGGTGAATCTACCCAAACCAGCACAGTGCCTGGTGCTGCAATGAAGAATACCTGCTTTCTACAGCTCCAAAACGAGACTTAGAGAGTTTATCTAACAAGCTTTCTTGGTATCAACCTGCTGCCTGTAAACTGCTGCCTGCTGCCTACATCTTTCTACCTGCTGCCTGCAACCTGCTACCTGTAACCTGCTTCCTGCAACATGCTGCCTGCTGCCTGTAAGCTGCTGCTTGCTGCCTGCTCTCTGCTACCTGTAAGCTGCTGTCTTCTGCCTGCTGCCTCCTGCCTGCAACCTGCTTCCTTCCACCTGCTACCTTCTGCCTGCTGCCTTCTGCCTGTAAAAAAAAAACTGCTGCCTGCTAAATACTGCCTGCTTCCTGCTCTCTGCTTCCTGTAACCTGCTGCCTGCTACATGCTCCTGCATTTGTGAACTGCAACCTGCTGCCTGCATTCTCTTGCCTGCTACCTGCTGCTTGACACCTGCTGACTGTTAGGTGCTGCCTGCTCTCTTCTGCCTGCAACCTGCTGCAGGTTCAGCCTCCTGCCTGCTCCCTGCAGCCTGTAACCAGCTGCCTGCTATCTGCTGCCTGTAACCTGCTGGCTGCTGTCAGCCTCATCCTGGTGCAGGTTGGGCCGCAGTGCTGATGTTTTTCCAGGCCAGAGCTGGCAGTGGGCAGGAGCTGCTGTGCTTGGGCAGCCCAGGAGCTGCTCACACACCCCAGGGACCCCTCCCGGAGTTGGCCACTAGCTTGTGAGCTGCAGCCGTTGTGGGTTTTGGTGCTCAGCTCTGGCACAGGCATGGGCAGGATGGGGCAGGGGATGTACTTTGCTGCCTCTAGCCTTGCGCTCATAAATAACAGCCATAATTTCTAACAGCAGGGGATTTAGGGTGAGGGAAACAGGTCCCTGGGTAGGTGGATTTTCACGGCCCTGTAACAACAGAGAAGGATGAACAGGATTTGAGGCCTGGTCTCGTCCCAGGGATGCTTCCTTCTGGCTTACAGGTCTGAGTGGGGTCTGTGCTGGAGCCGAAGTGAAGGCAGCACCCCAGGGTGCCAGGAGTGTCACCAGGCCCCTGCCCC